AATATATACAACTTAAATAACTTTTATAGTATATTATTAATTTTAAATTATATATTTAATAATTCAATATCTATGTAAATATTACATATATTATTTTGTGATATTAATTGCAAGCATATTATATATGTACATATTATTTATATTTTTAATTTGTATTAATATACCGTTTAACATGTAATTTTTTTATGTATTTTTTTACAAAATAAAAATAAAAATAATTTTAAATAAGATAGAAAAATTTAAATTTAAAATAAGATATGAATTTATTAAAATTTATAAGTATAAATATATTTAATATGAATATTTTTTAATAAAAATAAATAAAAATCGAGTCATGCGGTTCAACCAGTGACCTACCGGTTCAACCTTTGACCCACTGACCCAATATCTTAACCGGTTCGATGACCGGTCCAGTTTTTAAAACTATGGTAATAAGCATTGCCCTAGGCCTGGTGGAAGCAAAAGCAAGTCAAGATTGCTCCCATAAATAATTTCCCCTTATGATGAAATGAATCAAGTACAAGTTTGACGTTTTCGTTATCAGTGGCAACCGAATTAAAAAGGGTGTGTGTACGGTTTGACAATAATTCCAACAAGATGTACATTAGTAAACAACAAAAAAGAAACTTGTTGAGTCCTCAAAATTCAAACATTCTGCAACATTATTTTCTCAAGTGGGCCAGGGTTCAGGATCAGAGTTTTGCCGTCCGTTACTGTATTGAAACACAAGTAACATGACATGCAGTGCAGTGAACAACTTTTTCAAATGTCGACGCGTAATGCCTTTTTTTTATAAAAATATTCTTTAGCAACTGATTTTTTCATAATTACCACACAGCCAGGTGATTCTTTCCAACCAAACTTCTTCAATGATTGTTGGCCCATCTCTTCAAATTGAACTTTTGCATCTTTCACAACATATTGCAAAATTTCCACATTTCATAGCCAGAACTGAGTTCATGTTCACAAGAAAGAATCCAAACAAATAGAATAGAGAACAAGCCTTTAGATATGTAATTAGTATGTTTGATGTAGAATTCGCACATGGCAACAAGGTGTTACAAAATAGACTAGGAAACCACACCACCCTAATATAGACAGAGAACAAAAATGATCTAACCAGAACTATCATACAAAACTACCTGCCTTTCCATCTAGTTTAATGATTGTTACAAGCACTTTGACAGAACTCAGAATACGTGAAATATTAATTGGAGGACTAGCAATCGCCAAGAGAGTAATTTGGCGCGGAATATATTAGGAGAAATATAATTGATATATGTACAGTGTAACAGCAAAACAGGTGCCTGAATTCATGGACGTGATCACCAGCAAAATATGCATGATTTTTCCCCAGGCCTAAACATAGCCACAGAACATTCAGTTTTGCTAAGTTTGAAGATTCTTACTGTATTTGCAATTTAAGTATAGAGAGGGGATGCAGAGGGCCGGGGATAAGCTATGGAAGTCTCCACACGGCTAATATCGTCAGCACTTCTTCTACGTAGTCGAGACACGTTACTAGAAGGATTTTGATTGCCTCCATTTATATCAGCACTTCTTCTACGAGCTCTAGGTCCATTACCAGAATCTCGATTGCCTCCATTTACAATTGGAACCTGCAGCTGCTCCAAAGATGTAACCACTTCATCCATGTTTGGCCTGAACTTGGATTCTGTTGATAGGCACCTCAAGGCAAGGGTGGCTACCTTACAGGCATCATCTGTTGAATATTGTCCTTCAAGCCGTGTGTCCAACACGCGAAACACCCTACGTTTGTTTGCCAGGTAAGGCTTAGCCCATTCCACCAAATTGTGTTGCCCAGATGGTCTATTCTTGTCAACTGCCCTCTTGCCAGATAACATTTCCAGCAGAACAACTCCAAAACTATATACATCACTCTTAGCAGTAAGATGACCTACAGTAGCAATGATTTTAGATATTAACCAAAAAGCTAAATCTAGAATAACTTAAACTCAGATAAGGGAAAAATGTAACCCAACAATACCTGTGGCAAGATATTCAGGAGCTGCATATCCATAGGTACCCATTACCCTTGTAGAGACATGACTTTTGTCACCTGTTGGTCCGTCCTTTGCCAGCCCAAAATCAGAAAGTTTTGCATTATAATTCTGTGATCACATCAACAACCATATTTCAGATCTGCTACCCAAATGATTTCTACATTTATCAGATCTCTCTTTCATTATATATTGAATGAAAATGATTGAAAGTCCACATACTGAATCCAGCAAGATATTTGAACTCTTAAAATCTCTATATATCACTTTTGTTTTAGCACTGTGCAGAAATGCAAGCCCTTTGGCAGCATCAAGAGCAACCTTCAAACGGAGGCTCCAAGAAAGTGGTTGAAAATATGAGCCTCCTGTTACAATACGTATTGCCAGTGTTAAACAGACTTCTCAAGTTAAAACAATGTGAAAGATGGGAGTCATGGGACAGGAAGAAAACTCACTCCTGAACAAATGGTTTTCCAAGCTTCCACGAGGCATAAATTCATAGACGAGAAGGCGGTGTTCATCTTCAAGGCAAAAGCCAATCAATCTCACTAGATGAGGATGAGAAAGCTGTCCTAAATAGTTGACTTCAGCCTAGCAGTGAAAACAGAAACACAATAAGACAAGCATAGCTAAACCACCAAAAATAAACTCCTATTACCAACCATAAGTAATGCTACGTAATTAAGTGATGGTAACAGGTTTAAATTGTATTGATGGAAACTACACCATCAGTGTAGGTTAGAAGAACATGGACCACACTAGGCAACTTGAGACTTGCTTGCATTGCACGTTGCACCTACGATGCTGTAACACAGCCAGCACTTGTTTATTAATTAGGGTGAAGTGAAAACAAAGGATTAAATTAACCATACCAACCACTCTCTGTGACCCTGGATGCCATCTTGATTAAGTCTTTTAACAGCAATAACAATGCCAATGCCAGGTCTGGTAGCAGTCAATGAATTCTCATCAATCCACCCCTTAAAAACCGATCCAAAACCACCTTCTCCCAACACACTGTCTGGACGGAAATTTCTAGTAGCTGTCCTAAGTTCTGAGAAGGTAAAGCTCTTTAAATTGGCGGACTGCAAGATCTCACCCTCACTCCGAGGTGTCTGGGGCACTGAGATAGCTGAATTATTATTGGCGCTGCCAAGATCATTTCCATCCGTACTCACATACTTGGAATTGAACCCTGCCAAACCAAACCACATCCATTAAGGTTAAATTTTCATCAACACCAAATCAAACGTAACATCACCGAGATGCTAAATTGGATCTTCAATCATGTTTACACAATGCAAGCAATGGATATATATGAGGAGAAAAATTCAGTTTGTTAAGGTTAGACCTTAACACTAACAGGGGATGAAAGCAGCAAATATTGAAATTGAGAAAGCAGAATTACCCAAATTCATATCATATCATATAAGTATAACTCTGGTTTCTCAATTAAAAAATTGGAAGAGAGAATGAGGGAAGGGAAGCTCTTAACTCAAACTTAATAAATAAAAAATTGTTCCTTAAAAATAAAGAGGGGGAAAGGAAAGGAGTGAACTTGGAGGAAAGTGAAGATACCCATTACCCAGAAAGAGAAAAGATGGAAGCGCGAGTCAAGTGAATGGAAAAACAACGTACCGGTGTTATATGGGCTGGTTTCAGCTTTAATTTGGGCGCTCAAACAAACTCCCATGTTGGCAACAGAGAAGGCGAGATCCTGCGGAAAGCATGAAGGTTGAATTGAATAGAGAGAAAAGAAAAAGAAAAAGGAAGGAATTGGTGAAGGAAAAGGGTAAGAAGTAAGAACCTGTATGTATGGAAAAGAGAGAGAGAGAGTTTATATTGGTTGTTGAGAGGTAACATACATTCATTGGATTTGGATGGACATGTTTGATGTTGTAGCCTTCTTTCTTTCTAAGTCTCAAGTTTATGTAAGTCAAGTTCCACACTACAGTCCATTTTCATACGCTGCTCATTCTTATCGCAACCATCTTATTTTCATACTTCCATTATTTTTTTCTTTACACAACTTTATATTAATATAACTCACGATTTCATGTAATCTGAGACTTAATTATCAAGACTCCAAGTTTATTCATTAGATGGAAATAGACTTCCTCACATGCGCTCTACACGTATATCACTTTTTGTTATCACAATTTTCTTACTTTTAAACTTGTATGATCGTTTTTTTTTTATATATATAATTAAAGTTTAGATTATGACAAAATACGATTCTATATAAGAATAAAATTAACTATTAATTTCTTTAAAAAAAATTTAGTGAAATTACATATCGTTCACTTTATTTCTAATACAGGTTCTTATGAAAGACTAATATGATAGTTTGTTTCAAATTTTATATTTTTTTAAATTTTTGGAAATAGCATTCTTAAAAATAGAATGACAAGAATGATATTCATAAATATTTTTAAAAAATATGTTTGATTAGTGTTGAAAATGTTTTTATGAAAGTAGGTGAAAATAAAGTAAAAATAACAAATTTAGTTGTCATATCATAAAAATTCACATACTCACATTTTCTCTAAAAATAAAAACATGAGAATGTAGAAGTTATTTTATTCCTAAAAATATTATATACTAAGAATACAATTTATTAAATTGAAACATAACACAAACTTAGGTAACTTTAATTGCATTTTGTGTTTAAAACTTTCATTTTGTTGAAAATTTTGCTTTAATTTTTTCTTTTTTTGAATTTTTTCTCCATAAATTTTATAATATTGTGAATTATAATCCGTTTGTGTAACTAACTTTACATGATTGCAAGCAACTATTTTTAATTTATTTTATTTAAATAAAATAACGTGTAGATATTAGATAATATAATATATCAATACAAATATTACATATATTAACATATATATATATAAACAATGATCTACTTATTTCAATAGATTTATTTTATTCGATTACTCATATTTTATATAAAATTTTAATGATCTAATTATTCAATTAAAAGTTCTTAATATATAAATTATAAATTCTTAAAAATTTTAAAAATTATTTAAACTTTATCTCATTATTTCAAATCGACATATAAAATATTTTTATGATTATTTGTTGATTTGAATTAACGAAATATATTATTAAATAATTTTTAATTTTTTTGATAATTTGTAAAATTGATTTTTATATTAAATTTTTTTTATTCAATAATTAAATCGTTAAAATTTAATTTAGAATGTAAGTTATTGGGTAAAATAAGTCAAAATAAATTTATTTTTAAAATAAATAAATCTCTTTATATATATATATATAAGAAAAAATCAATACACCAATATAATATCACATATTTTAATATAATTATAAAATATTAATACATGTATATTTGATATACTTATAATTTAATACATTAATATTCTTTAGGTGAATTTCTACTTGCAGTTTTGGCATATTATTGACACCCTATTTAATAGTCACTAGCAATAGAAATATCTCTTCATTATACTATTTTATTATATAAAAATACATTAATATAACTGATATAATATGATACGAATATATTAATTAAACTAACGCCTGAGTTCAAAGCATGTCATTAATGCATGAGTGAGGGGGAAAAACTCGTTACAATACAAAGTAAGCCACACATGTTTGTATTTCACCAAATTTTATATTACTGTTGAAAATAACATTAATATAGTCAGGTCATTTAAAAGTATTATGTTTGTCTTTATTTTAAAATTAAAGATCTTATACATGATAGTCATAGGTTTATGGATTTCAAAAATCTCAAAATTTGATGAAAAAATAATCATGATAGAGAATATAGTGTCTTATCTTTAATATTAACTAATATATTTTAACCTATGCTTTATTATATATAACATAATTAAAATTTATGATAAATTATATATAAAAAATACTATATATGTATATATAAATTATATTTAAAATATATATATATATATATAATTTTAAACATATAAATTTTATTGTAAATTTATGATAAATGATTTGTATTGTAAAAAATATTTTTTATTTATTGATAACTTTTTTTTAAAATATTAAAAATTAATTAATAAATAATTATAATAAATAAAAATTAAATTAGATAAAAGGTTCAAAAAATTCTTACAAACTCCCTCGTTAAAAAAAAACTCTTCCTAAAAATACTCTTATGTAAGATAGATTTATGTTTAATATATAAGGATTGATGAAAATTTTTTTCACTAAAAAAGGAGTTTATATTAAAAATAAAACAATTTCTTTCTTGACAAAAGATCTACCTCAAATCAATATATGATCATTGTTCGTTTATTTGACCTATTTGTGTCATACATACAATCTTTTCGTTGAAACTCGAAACGATCCACTTACTCCTCAATTTCAAGTAGATAAGAACAAAGGAACTATTATATGATTTCTCAATTAAATATCAATAAAAGAAAAAAAAAACACCCAAGTACATTTTCAAAAATTAAAATAATTTATGTAAAATATATAATGCGTGTATAATATATTAAACTATATATATATATAT